ATTTCTGAAGAAGGGTCTAGGCCCAAAACGTCAGCCTTCCTGCTCCTCTGATGCTGCTTGGCCTACTGTGTTCATCCAGCTCTACACCCTGTTTGCCCGTGCATTTCTGTTCTGTTATGGAAAAGGAAAGAGATGGTCTGCAAAAAGGGTTTTAGATTGGGCAAAGGCAGATTTTATTGAAAGATGGCAGGATCTAGCCGAAGTAGACTTGAAACAATAAGCAAAAACAAGAAGGCAGGTTACTACCTGAATGGCTGTAAATTGGGAGAGGGGAGTGTGCAGTGGGACCTGGGTGTCCTTGTGCACCAGTTACTGAAGGTAAGCATGCAGGTGCAGCAGGCGGTAAAGAAGGTAAATGGTATGTTGGCCTTCATTGCGAGAGGTTTCGAGTACAGGAGCAGGGATGTGTTGTTTCAGTTATACAGGGCCTTGGTGAGAGCACACCTGAATATTGTAAGCAGTTTTGGTCTCCTTTTCGGAGGAAGGATGCTCTTGCTCTCGAGGGAATGCAGCGAAGGTTTACCACACTGATTCCGGGGATGGCGGGACTGATATATGAGGACAGATTGACTGTTTGGGATTGTTTTCACTCGAGTTCAGACGAATGAAGGGGGGATCTTATGGAGACTTATAAAATTCTAACAGGACTGGACAAGGTAGATGCGGAGAGGATGTTCCCGATGGTGGGTGAGTCCAGAACCGGGGATTCAGGGTAGATGATTTAGGACGGAGATGAGGAGACATTTTTTTCACCTGAAGAGTGGTGAGCCTGTGGAATTCATTACCAAAGTAGTTGATGCCAAAACATTGAATGTATTCAAAAGGCGACTAGATATAGCATTTGGGCCGAATGGGATCAAAGGTTATGGGAATAAAGCAGGATTAGGCTATTGAGTTGGACAATCAGCCAGGATCATGAAGAATGGCAGAGCAGACTCAAAGGGCCGAATGGCCGCCTCCTGCTCCTATCTTCTATGTTTCTATGTAACAGCTGCTTGAGGGTAAATCTACAGTAGAATGGTGGGAGGTGTTCAAAAAGAAATGTACTGGGGAAGAGTATGGGCCCAGTGTGTTCACTTCAGTGTGAAACATTGGAGCAGCAGGCCCAGGGAACCTGGATGTCTAGGAATATTCAGGAGTGGATAGAAAGCAAAAGAGGGAGACCTATAACAACAGGTACAAAGGGAGCAAATCAACAGGGGCCCGAGATGAGGATAGATAGTGCAGGGGGGAAACTGAAGACAGCAATTAGGGGCATGAGAAAACCGCTGGTGGATGAGATTAGGGAGAATCCTAAGATATTCTATAAGTCTATCAATGGGAAGAGAATCACCAGGGAAAGAGTAGGACCCATGAGGGACAAAGGGGAAATCTGCGTGTGGAGCCGGAAGACATTGGTAGAGTGTTAAATGAGTACTTGGCATCTGTCTTTACTCTGGAGAGAGAGGATGTAAGTACAGAATTCGAGAAGATGATAGACAGTGAGGTTCTTGAGCAGATTGATATAAGAAACGAGGAGGTTTTGGTGATTTTGGCAGATTTAAAAGTGGATAAATCTCCAGGACTGGATGAGTTGTATCCCAGGCTGTTATGGGAGATGACGGAGAAACTCATAGGGCTCTGACCCAAATTTTTATTTCATCTCTGGCCAACGGGAAGGTGCCAGAGGACTGGAGGGCAGCTAATGTAGTTCTACTTTTCAAGAATTGTGGATTGTTTGGCCATTGCAGAGGTAGTTAAGAATTAACTGCATTGCTGTTGATCTGAAGTCACACATACGACAGACTGGGTATAGACTGTAGATTTCACAGTCATTATTAAACTTTTAAATCCAGATTTTGTGTTTTGAATTGAAATCTCACAAGCTCCTGTGATGGGATTTAAACCTCGGGTCCCCAGGGCACCACCTGGTTCTCTGGATTATTGATCCAGTGAAAATACCACAGTGCTGTTGTGTCCCCTTATCCTGCTACTCCCAGCTCTCCTGCGAGAAACCATGATCTACTGAAGGTACTCATCCTTTGAAAGCGCATCTTGCTGATTGAGTGCATTCATAATATGAAATTTCAAATGATTTGTCTGATTTTCACACTCAATGCAATGCAAATGTTTGGCAGCATTGTGAGGTCTCATGGTCAACCCAGCAGAGGGACAGGAATATCACCCTGAGCCTGTTTGACCAAATCAAGCAATTATGTGTCTTGTTTAATAATGGCTGCAAATTCATATCCCCATTGGATCAGCTGTTCAGTCTGAGGAGACCACCTTGCTCAAAAGCAAGCTGGAAAAGACCAGTGGCTGGACTAGAGTAGGGTCAGTGACCTGACCAGTGATATATGTAACAGAGTTTGTCCTCGCTGTCGTCCCTGTATGTGTGGGCGGCCTGTGAGGCCAAAGCTTGGGTCAGGGAGTTAGCTATTGTTACTGAGATCAGAAGAGGGAGCCGTGGCTGGGAGCAGAGAGAGGGGCAGTGGAGAGTTGCTTCTTTTGCACTCAGTTGGGGTGTGGGTAGGGAATGAAGGGGGGAAAAAGGGAGGCTGCAGTGGGGCTGGAGGGAAATAGTCTTTAAAAGGGTGGGGCTGGTGAGGGTGGAGATAGTTGACCTGAGGGGAGATGGCACTTCTATAAAGGAACTGGGAAGAGATGAGGAAGCAGCAAAAGGATGTGGAGGGGTTCAGGAAGAATAGTCACAATGGAAATGGAGAAAGATGGGGAAGGTTGCAGGGAGGCCATAAGAGTAGGGAAGGGAGAATGAATTAAGAGGTTGCAAAGAGAGAGCATTTTCATACCTGCCAGAATGGATCATTTAGCAAACCAGGAGTCAGGAAAAAGTGACATCCCGTAGGTAATGAATTACTGTGTCTACACCTCAAGGTTTCATACATTCAGGATTAACTGTATGGGGACCATTCGTATGGATGTTATCATAATGCACACTGTGTTGGTTATTAAAGGTAAAACTGATATTAAGTACAACGAAGCTGCAAAACGGGTAATAAGCTGTTCGTTTAAAATATTTGAGATTTTTGAATATGCAAAGGAGATACATTAACTGTGATGTCACTAATCTGTGGAAAGTTTGTTTAGGCTGATGGCTTTTTATGTAGAAGCGTGTCAGTTGTTTTGAAAATCACCTTGTTGACTTATGAATGTTGTCACCTGTCGTTATCAACGTTGAAGTATCTGGGAAATCATGTGCTGCGGTTTTCAATTGAAGTGATTGATAATTTATTGAGGAATTTCTTGAATTGTGTGAGTCCTAATAATGTCTACAGCAACACAGATACAGAAAGTAGTGTTATCAAATGACTGCATCACCTCATAAAACAAAAAATACAGTAAGTGGCAGAATCCTTAGGCTCTTTGATGTATGAGGGATTTTAAGTCCATAGCTCTCTGAAAGTGGCAACACAAGTGGATAAGTTGGTAAAGAAGGCGTATGGCATTTGCCTTCAAGCATAAGTCGCAAGATGTGTTCCAGCTGTATAAGACTTCAGTAAGGCACATTTGAAGTATTGTGTGTAGTTCTGATTGCCACAGTTAGGAAGGATGTGAGGCTTTGTAGAGGGTGTAAAAGAGATTTACCAGGATGTTGTCTGATTGGGGTGTATTAGCTATAAGGAGAGTTTGGACAAACTTTATTTTCACGAGAGCATCAGAGACCGAGGGATGACCTGATTGATGTATATAAAATTGAGAGGACTGGATAGGGTGGATTGTTGGAGTCTCTTTCCCAGGGTGGAAATGTCAAATACTAGAGGGCATAGGTTTAAGGTGAGAAGGGGGAAAGTTTAAAGGAGATGTGCAAGGGAAGTTTTTTCTCTCACAAAGAGGGTGATAGGTGCCTGGGACGCATTGCCAGGGGAGGTGGTAGAAGCAGATACAATAGCAATGTTTAAGAGGCATTTAGACAAGAGACATGAACAGGCAGGAAATAGAGGGATACGGACCATGTGCAGGGAAATGGGATTAGTCCTGAGGAAGGGTCACCGGACTCTAAACATAAACTCTGATTTCTCTTTACAGGTGCTGCTGGACCTGCTGAGCTTTTCCAGCAACTTCTGTTTTTGTTCCTGATTTACAGCATCCGCAGTTCTTTCGGTTTATATTTGCGATTAGTATCATAGATCATAGAATCCCTACAGTGTGGATACGGGCCCGTTGGCCCAACAAGTCCACACTGACCCTCAGAGCATCCCACTCAGACCCATCACTATAAGTATAGATTGGCATCGTGGTTGGCACAGACATGGTGGGCCAAAGGGCTCGTTCCTGTGCTTTAATGTGAATAAAACAGTAGCTCTTGAAAGCCATGTAAAATAAGAGGGAATGAATTTGTACAACAAGGGCCATTAAGTTGATCCTGTGTTTGCCACAGTGATTTTTAATTGCAGTGTTTGTTCTTATTTGCAGAGGAACTCCCGTACCTGAAGTGCCCACTGCACACTGTCTTAAAGTTGACCCCAGTAGCTTATGGTAAGTGGCTTCAGCCTGTGATAAGGCTTTACAAATGTAACAACGAATATAATGTTCCAGCTGTGACAGGAGGAGTGCACTGGTGATCAACTCACACTCCCACAAACGGTCCAAAAGTATAAATGTCCATTGAATGTCCAAGATGCTTAAATTGTTATATTTTTACTAGTATCTAGGATAAGTAAAAGCCTCCCACCAGATTTCTTAAGTAAGCACTAATCTTATTTATTATGATGAAATTTAGGCTTTACCAGGTGGCAAAATGGATTATTAATGACTATGATATTAAATGATGTTATTTTTTAAACCCAAATCTCTCTCAGGTAGGATAAGACAGGACATACAGCCCTACGGAGTTGTTATGGGTGGGGATAAATTGGCAAGAAATAAAATCTTGTGGATTGAGAGTCTGGACAATGAGGATGAAGTGTGGTGTTTCTCTCACCGCCCTTTCAGTGTCTGTCACATTGCTGCTGACCACAGGGCAATGGAAGATCCTCAAGTTAGTCTTTGAACACTGTCTTTTACACACCGGGGGGGAGAGAGAGATCAAAATACTTCTTCCTCGCAAAGCTCTCCACAACTGTAAGGGTTTTCCCATTACCTAGAATTGAGAGAGCAAGGTAAAGAGATCTGTCTTTGCTGCAGACTTCTTGAAGGTCTGTTTTCAACTGCACCACTCCCCAGAAACTAACACTCCAGTAGCTGTTGCTAAGTCCTGCTGCTCAATGCTACTTTCACTAGTTTCACTAGAAGTAGCCATTCAGCCCGTCGAGTCTGCTCCACTAATTAATACAGTCATGGCTGATCGAACACATCAATGCATTTTATCCACTTTATCCCCATAACCCTTCAAGTTATTTATAATCAAATATGTATCGACCTCTAGTTCAAACATACTCAAACACCTGAATTTCAACAGCCTTCTGCCGTAGAGAATTCCAAAGATTCACAACCCTTTGAATAAAAGAAAATCTTCTTTTTCGAAACTAGGTGGCAACGCACTTGTTTTTAAACTGTGCCTCTGATTCTAGACTCTCCAACCAGGGAAAACATCTTATCCACATCTAGCCTGTCTATCCCTTTAAGGGTTACATCCATCAACTCCCTTTCTGTGAATTTTGTTAATAACAGCCTCAAAAAACTCTTAAGTTTATCAAACACTATTTCCCATTTACAATTTCATGCTGACTCTACCTAGCAGATCATTTTATCTGTGTCCATTTATCACATTCTTCATGATAGATTCTAGTATTTTCCTTTCTACTGATGTAAGGCTGATAGGTCTGTAGTTTCCTGTTTTTCCTTGCTCCTTTCTTAAATAGCAGAGTGACATTTTGCACGCTTCCAGTCTGCAAGAATGACTCCGGATTCAATGGCATTTTGGAAGATTCACAAGCATTATCTCTGTAGTTACCTCCTTCAACTCTCTGTAGTTTCTCCAAACCAACCTTCTTACTAACACTAGTTTCTTTCAACTTTCCTCGGTATGGGAAGGCGATGGTGTAGAGGTAATGTCACTGGGCTAGTCATTCTGAGCCCCCGGCTAATGTTCTGGGGATGTGGGTTTGAATTCCCTCAGGGCACATAATGAAATTTGAAGTCAGTAACATCTGGAATAAAAAACTAGCCAAATGGCGACTAAGTAGTTATTGACAATTGTAGGGAAAAACCTGCCCTCACCTGGTTTGGCCTACACATGACTCCAGTCCAACAGCAATGTAGTTGACTCTTAATCTGCCTCTGGGCAATTAGAGATGAACAATAAATGCTGGCCTAGCCAGGAACATCACAACCTGTGAATGAATAAAAAAACAGTACTCCAGGTTAGGTCTCACCAAGGCCATGTGTAACTGAAGTAAGATATCCTTCCTACTAAACTCAAATCCTTTGCAATGGAGACCACTGCACCTTTCACCTTCCTAGTTGCTTGTTGCGTCTGCTTGTCTGCGTTTATTGTCTGGTGCACAAGTACACCCAGATCTCTTTGGGGAGTGTGGATGTACAATGTATCACATTTAAATAACATATCTAAGGAAATCAGTAATAATGAGAGAATGGTGCTGAGGAAACTAATGGGGTTAAAGGCTGATAAATTCCCAGGTCCTGAAAATCCACATCCTGGAGTACTGCAGGAAATGGCTCTGGAAATATTGGATGCATTGGTGGTCATCTTCCAAAATTCTCTAAACTCTGGAGCAGTTCCTATCGATCAGAGGGTGGCAAATGCAATCCCAGCATTTAAAAAGGGAGAACTATAAAAAGAAAATAGAATTCTAGGCCAGATTGCCTAACAACAGTAGTGGGGAAAATGTTAGAGTCGAGAAATGATGACAGAATGATAACATGATAACATTCGGAAAGCATTAACAGGATTGGACAAAGTCAGAATGGCATTATGAAAGACAAATTGTACTTAACAAATCTACTGCAGTTTTTTGAGGATGTAACTGGTAAGATAGATGAGGGAGAATCCATGAATGTGGTGTATTTCGATGTTTGGAAGGCATTTGATCAGGTCCCTTATAAGAGGTTAGTGGGAAAAATTAAAGCACACGAGTTTTGGGGCAATATATTGGCATGGATCAAGAATTAGTTGACAGATAGGAAACAGAGTGGGGATAAATGGGTCTTTTTCTGAGTGGCAGACAGTGACTAGTGGGTACCACAGCAATTAGTGCTGGCGCCCCAGCCATTCACCATATATATATATAAATGACCTTTGGTTTGAGGACTTTTTTTTTATCAAGGAGACTATATGAAGATGCGTTTTAAAAATCTTGCTTATTGGATAACATTGTGACTCAATCAAGGAGGATTATAATATAAAATTTGGCAACCATCCTTGGAAGGAAATTTTAGTTGATGGAAAAGTTTAAATGTGATAAAGGAATTTAAACACAATCTCTTGTTTGACGAGTTGGTTCAGTTTCTGATCATTAGTAACCCCCAGGATGTAAATAGTGGGGGATTCAGTAATGGCAACACTAGTGAGGGGCAACATTGTAAAATTTTTACTGAACTTCTGTACTTGAATACACGTGATAATAAACCTAATTCTAAAAAGATTAACACTTGTTGAGATGCTATTTGTGTGTTGGAATTTCAGTGTTACTTTCTATTTATCAGTCAAAGACTGAATGTTCTTTTGTAATACTCATTGTGACGTTTCCTTAAATGGGATACGTTACATAAGACATGTGGCAGAAACAGGCCATTGGGCACAACACTGCCATTGTTTATGCTTCACTCGAGCCTCCATGTATATTTCCTCCTGTGAATGCAGGAATATGGGATACATAACCCTGTCATTAAAAGAACTGTGGACAAAAAAAGTCTGCTCAGTAAAGAGGGCCGTAGTTGTAACTGCTGTTGAGTTGGTTGGTCTGCCTGCCTGGACACATTTTCATGCCAGCACGGTTTTAAAATGAATATATTTTTGGATTTGTTTTTACTTGTGCCACTTGTCTAAGGCTTAGATTCTGGAAGAAATGGATAAGTTTCTTGTCAAAAGAGGTGATTCTTCTGTTATTTCAGTTGATGAAGCATCTGAACCCAAACAGAAAGAAAAACAAGAATTGTTCAGAGGTAGATGATATGTTGAGAGCTATTTGACCTTTAGATTTTCATAGACAGGAGATGTTGAGGAGTTTTACATGAAACTTTCTGGTAACACTGATGCTTTAAATGGGAATTAATGTTGTTTGCATGTTTTTTTCCCTCTTTAGGATGTAAAGTTGAATCTATTTTCCTGAATATTGAAGCTGTCAACACACACCGAGAAAAGCCTGAGGTAAGATAGAAAACCCAATCAACTTATTTCATCAGAAACACTCCAATCAGTTTGACAACAGCTGCAATAATATTTGTCAGTGGTGGTAAACATTCCCATGAAGATTTGTCTTGAGATTGATGCCAAAATCTGGATTTTGTTTTTGTCCTTTCCTCTTCTCTCAGTAATGTGCAGTCATTTATTCACTTGTTTTCATTTGTTCACGGGATGTGGGTGTGGCTGGCTGGGCCAGCATTTATTGCCTGTCCCTAATTGCCCCTTGAGAAGGTTGTAGTGAGCTGCTTTCTTGAAAAGCTGCAATCTTTTGGGGTGTAGGAGCACTCTCAAATACTGTTAGGGAGGGAGCTCCAGGATTTTGACCCAGCAACGTTGAAAGAAAGGTGATATATTTCCAAGTCAGGATGATGAGTGGTTTAGAAAGGAACTTTCAGGGTGTAGTGTTCTTATGTATGTATCTGCTGCTCTTGTCCTTCTAGGTGGTAGTGGTTGTGGATTTGAAGGTGCTGTTGGAAGAACGTTGATGAATTTCTGAAGTGTATCTTGTAAATAGTACACACTACTGTGATTGCATTGAAGTATACTCAGGAAGCTAGCACAGTATGGTACCGACTACAGATGATAAGCTAACAGTTTACAGTGGGTCTGACATCTCTTGCATTGATGTCCTGCATCTTAAACGTCAATATGGCTTGTTGAGATGAGCACCTGAAAATCTTTATCATTGTTGAAGCAGCCGCACCAGCTATTGTTCTACCAGCCTGCACAGACCAACATATTATTGTGGGCTACGAGGTGACAATCCATCAATTCCAACCACAGAGATTCCAGACTGCAACATTCGAGTCTATCCATGACCTGTAATTGGCCTCTACGCAGACAGGTTTCTTGCAACAGGCAACTTTAAAGGCACTGCATCATCTGAAAGATGACATACAACCTGTCATCTCTCACACTTTGTCTGTGTTCGATTTTCAAACAAACACAATGGTTTGTGAAAGGATATTGTCTTGCCATGTCCAACCTTATGACATCGTAATGAGCAGCGGTCGTGTCCTGTGAAGAAATAGACAACATTTCCAAACCGTATTCCATCAACCCCCTGTCACACAGGGTGTTGACTTGGACAATGGAGACATCATTCCAGACAACAACCAGACACCTCCGTCACATGGTACTCCACCATCTGCGATGACACTGTAGAGTGAAGCCACACAACCAAGTCAGAATGATTGTAAAAGGACGAGAATATGTTGTGTTGTACGTTCACTATGTCGTTATCTGCATGTGTAGAGGTAATGTATCGATATGTTTCCTTGTGGATGTTTATTGGAAGAGTTTGCATTCTTTAAAGGAGAAAAATGGAATGTTCCGTATTGCATAGATTGCAGAAAGGCAGTGTACTTGTTCTGGTAAATATCATTGGTAGTTATAGCAACAGGGGCAATGCATTGCATCAGCAATAATAGAACTCAGTCTGTGCATATGAAACTGTATAACAGTGTAAATACCGTTGTTTATAAACTTCAAGATATCTGTCTCAACAAGAACCCAGTCTTCGTGGTATGTGGTACATGAGCTAACGTATAAGGAAGTGCTCAGACCACGTCATACAAGAATATCAGATGGAGCAGGGCATTTAGGAAACTTCAGGGTATTCAATCAGAGTCGTCATGGCTTTATGAAAGAAAAATCATGTATAACTAGTTTAAATTTGTTGAAAAAGAAACTTTTTTTAAAAATTCATTGCGATGTGGGCGCCGTTGGCTGCGGCAGCATTTCTTGCCCATCCCTAGTTGCCCTTGAGAAGGAGGTGGTGAGCTGCCTTCTTGAACCACTGTAGTCATATGCGGTAGGTGGACTCTCAATACCCTTAGGAAGGGAATTCCAGGATTTTGACCCAGCAGCACTGAAGGTACAACGATATACTTCCAAGTCAGGATGGTGAGTGTGTTGGAGAGGAATTGTAGGGATTGGTGTTCTCATGTACTTGCTGCTATTGTCCTTCTTCATGTAAGTGATAATGAGTTTGGAAGGTGCTGTCTAAGGAGCCTTAGTGAATTTCTGCAGTGCATCTTGTAGATGGTACACCCTGCTGCTCCTGAGCATCGGTGTTGGAGGGAGTGGGTGCTTGTGGATGTGGCGCAAATTAAGTAGGCTGCTTTGTCTTGGATGGTGTCAAGCTTCTTGAGTATTGTCGGAGCTGCACTCCTCATCCAGGCAAATTGGAAGTATCTCATTACACTCCTGACTTGTGCCTTGTAGATGGTGGACAGGCTTTAAGGAGTCAGGAGGTGAGTTATTCGTTGCAGGGTGCCGAGCTTCTAACCTGCTTTTGTAGTCATTGTGTGTACGTGTATATATAATAATATGGCAAGTCCAGTTGAGTTTCTGGTCAATAGTAACCCCAGGATGTTGATACTGGAGGATTTCAGTGAACATAGCACTATTGAGTGTCAAGAGGCAGTAGTTAGATCGTCTTTTGGAATGTCACTTTCTACCTATCAGTCAAAGTCTGAATGATTTTTTTTTTAATACTCATTGGGACTTTTCTTTAGGTGGGATACATTACATCAGCCACGTGGCAGAAACATGCCATTGGGCATAACATTGCCATTTGTTTATGCTTCACTCGAGCCCCCTCCCATCTTTCTAATTACTGTAAACACCAGTTCCTTTCTCCCTCATTGGCGTATATAGTTTCCCTGTAAATACATTGATACACATTCCCTCACCCAGTCTTTGTGCTGCAGAGTTCCACATTCTCACCACTCCTGGGCTAAGGGCGTTTTTCCTGAATTCCTGACCTCTTAGTTACTCCCATACTGATGGCCTCTTGTTCTGCTCTTCCCCACAAGAGAAGATATTGTCTCTGTATCCATGCAATCAAAACCTTTCATCAATTTAAAGACTTCCATTAGATTACCCTCAGCCTTTTCCCATGAGAAAACAGACCCAGCTGGTCAACCTTTCCTTGGTTTTTCTGGCATCATCCTCAAATCTTTTCTGACCCTCGCCAGTGCCTCTGTACCCTTTCTAATAAGATGGTGACTAGACTGCCTGGAGTACTCAAATGTGGTCTAACCAAGGTTCAGTACTGGTTTAATATAACTTCTCCAATTTTCTATCCTGTGCTTCTAGATGCAGCTTGTGATACAATCTTTAGTGGTCGTGTATTTGTATCTGAGATCTCTTTGCTCCTCTACTCCACCCTCCATTCTTCTCAATCTGATGTCATCTGCAAATCTAGGAATTGCATTTCGGATTCCAAAATCCAAATCATTGATGAAAATTGTGAACAGCAATGGCCCCATGACTGAGCCTTGTTGAACATCACTTCCCAATTTCTGTCACTCTGAGTAACTCTCTGTTACTCCCACTTGCTGTTTTCTGTCTTGATAGTTCTGTTCTGACAGCAATCCATTCTGCCACTCATTCCCTAACTCTACATTCTCTGACTTTATAAAAAACATGAATATTCATGAGTCTATTTTCAGGAACGGAATTGCACATTCAGATAAATGACATCTACTGTCCACTCCTTCGTCCACTCTCTCTGTTGTCACCTTGAAACATTAATAGTCCATTCTGACTATTCGTTACTATATTCCTCATTTATAGAAGTTCTAGCCTCATTGGTGGGGTGTCCATTATTTGAGATAATGTTACTGAGATAGTAATCCAAAGGCTTGAGCAAATACTCTGGGGCATGCCTTTAAATTCCACCACAGCAGCTGGTGAAATTAAACTCAATTAATTAACAAATAATAAAATAGTTGGAACAAAATGGCTAGTGTCACTGAAGGTGATCATGAAGCAATCACTGTCATAAAAACCCATTTGGTTCACAAATGTCCTTTTATATCAGGAAATCAGCCAAGGACACTGTCTGCTTTATAACTGCTTTCTCTACCTGTCCTGCCACCTTCACTGATCTATGCACAAATACACCCAACACCCTTTCCTCCTGCAGTCCCTTTAGAACTGTACCACTATTTTACATTGTCTTTCAATGCTCTTCCCACCAAAATGCATCACTTCTCTGCATTGAACCTCACCTGCCATTTACTCACCCACCCCACTAACTTGTCAATGTCCTTATGGAGTTCCACATTGTCATCTTCACAGATTACTATTCCTCCAAATTTCATGTCATCCATAAACTTCAAAGATATAGAAGATGCCATGACGTTATTCGATGAAGAGTGAGATCTGCTGGGATCCTGATCAGCATTCCTTTCTTCCTTCCTAAGTTCTGAGGAAGTGTCGCTGGACCTGAAATGTTAACTCTGATTTCTCTCCACAGATGCTGCCAGACCTGCTGAGCTTTTCCAGCAATGTCTGTTTTTGTTTTTAATTTTTAGCATCTGCCGTTCTTTTGGTTTTTGTTTAGCATTCCTTCTTTAACCAATTTGCCCAAAATTGCATTACATATTTATTAGTTATCGGTTAGATCCTACTGAACTTGTACAGGCACTGCATGTTTCTGAATCTGACAGCACTTCTCTACACTTAAGCCGTTGGTTGTGAAGTACTAAATGTGAGACTATCTCTTATTTGAAAAATCAAAATTGCCCTTCCACAAGGATATTGTCTGTGTACAATTCTGGTCACCCTTCTAAAGGAAGGATGCTGTTAAAACTTGAACGGGCACGGAAGAGATTTACAAGTGTGTTACCGGGAATGGAGGTTTTGAGCTGTAGGGGAAAGCTGAATAAGCTGGGACTGTTTTTCCTGGAGCAGCAGAGACTGAGGGGTGACCTTACAGAGGTTTATAAAATCATGAGGGCATGGTTAGGGTGAATAGTCGAGGTCTTTTTTGTAGAGTTCAAAACTAGAGGACATAGATTTAAGGTGAGAGGGGAAAGACTTCAAAAGGACCTGAGGAATAACTTTTTCACACAGAGGGTGGTGTGTGTATGGAAAAGTGTCAGAGGAGGTGATGGAGATGGGTACAATTACAACATTTAAAAGGCATCTGGGTGGGTGAATGAAAGGAAGGG